TAAAACAACACACATGTATTCTCTTGCAGTTCTGGAAGTCAGGAGTCCCACATCGATTTCGCTGGGTCAAAATCAAGGACTTAGATGCATTTTGCTCCCTCCATAGCCTTAGGAGAGTCTCGTTTTTACCTTTTCCAGTTCCTAGAGCTGCAATCCTTGGCTTCTGGCTCCTTCCTCTATGTGCAAGGCCCACATGATGGTGTCCCAGCTTACTCTGTCACACTGCCTTGTCCTGCGCCTCTTGCATTTAGAACCAGTTCGGTTATCTTGGTAATCTACAGATGCACGTTTCTTAACCACATCTGCGCAATTGCTCTTGTCATACTTTGCAATGCTTTCTAGTTCTGGGGATTAGGACCTCAACATCTTTGTGGGCCTGCCATAGTCTTATAGGGCAAAAGCCATGCATATGATTTATCCTAGTCCTCAAAGCTTCCTCCTATCTGTCTGCAGCCATGTTTCCATCAACTCGTCCTGTTTCCAGTTTCTTTTTCTCCTTCTGATAGGATCTAGACCATCCTTCAAGTTCAAAATTTTAATTCTTCTTACACAGGAGCTTAATCTGATTACTTCAGACCACAGAGGTAAATTCCTCTCATCAGATGTTATACTCTGCTCTATATGCAATTCCCTATATAGTGAGGACACTAGTGGCTGGCACAATTGCTTGTCACTTGGTTATCAGCCCTGGTAACAGGCCATTTCACAGTAATCTTAGTACAATTCTCTCCACACAGCCAACTGCCTATTCAATCACTCTTGGCCTACTGAGAGGACCTTTCAGATTTTACAATTTAGGGGCAAGTGACTGTTTGATAGGAGGACTAAAACTACAAATACTTTTTAAATGCATGATCAGAGTTTTGACCTGTTCAAATTAAATCAGTATAATTTGTCACATGTTAACTGAAGCTCACAGGTGTTATCACACCACACAGTGATCAGTCATGAAGGGGCACCTTGCAGACAAGAACACACAAAGTCCAGTGGTGCAAAGCCTAAGAAGAAACCAGAGTTCAGAAGCTCTGGCAAGGTGCAAATGGCAGTCTATTCAAGAGGAGAGAATGTGGAAACTAACTGAGGAGAGGAGGGAGGAGAGAAAGGAAACAGGTAAGAAAAGGGGAAGTGAGAGTGCTGTAGTGGCTTGTTAGTGGCTTGTTCGGGAGGAGCCCACCTTCCAGCCACTCCCCACTCTTCTACCCCCCACCCGGCTTGCAGTACTCAAGAGGGCTTCAGAAGGGGCACTTAATGTGACAGGGGGGAGAACTCAGCCCATATTCTCCTCCAGAACACGGAGTCCTAAAACAGCCTAGGAGGGGAAGAACAGGCAGAGAGCATACACAGCCCAGAGCTCTCTCATGCCCAGGGCTCTGACGCTGAAGAACAGGCCCTAGGGCTGCTCAGGCCCTGCACTGAGGTCCTGACCTCCAAGACCATCAGAGCCAGACAAGGCTGGATTGAGTCTCTTAAGGAATGTGTAATAGGAGGGGCAATGTCAACAGGGGGTAAGGAAGCCAAATGTGCAGAGGACCTGGCTCTGATCCTTAGTGTCAATTACTCTCCAGAAAAACAGCAACACAGAAAACAGTTTTTTGGGGGAAGGATAAAGGAGAATGATGGAGGGGGTAAATTTAACTATGATATATTGTAACACTTTTGTAAATGTCACAATGTATCTCCAGTATGATAATATGATAATTAAAAAGAAAGAAAGAAAGAGTAAGTAATGGGGGAGTTGATTTGATTAAAGCACTATATGTACAGGCCCAAAGTGCCAAGGCAAAACCCCCTTGGACTATCAATATACACTTTAGAAAAAAAAAAAATGAAGGACAAGAGGGTAAAACAGTCCTTTTCCAGGAGTGTGTACCAGTGGGAGTAGGGAGGGCGTAAGGAAAGGGTGAAGGAGGGCTAATATGATATGCATATATGAAAACAGAAGAATAAAACCTGTTGAAATTGTTCTAAGAAGGGGTGGGATGGGAAAGAGGGAGAGCAATGGAGGGGTAAATCTGAGATATATTGTAAGCACATACTTATCTCAGTGCCTGATATAATCATAATAACAATAAAAATAATAGCAGCTATCATTAAATCTTTAAAACAATCTTGTGAGGTAGAGTTTAGTCTGGAGCATTCTCGAATTATCTTTCTGGTAGTTATGATCAACTTGGGCTTTTATATCAAATAAAGATCAGTGGTCATAAGTGTGACCTATGGAATCAGAATGTTCTAGTCTGCTTTGGGGAGGAGGACTAAGGTGTGAGCTTGTATATTTCCTGAAGTCTTTGTGCTTCTGCCTCTTCATCACTAAAGTGATAATAAAGTCAAGAAAACACATGTATCTTACAGGTCTAAGGTACATCCTAAGAGCTCAATTTTTGTTATTACAATTGTTGTAGTTATTGCCAGTAAACATCCTTGTGATGCTTATTGTATGTGATCTTGAAAAAATTTAGCAGACTTTGCAAACATGTTGAAATTAGGATTTAAATGTCATCACATCCCAAACCTACCAGTTCTCTGGTCAGAGGAGTGAAAAGGATGCATTTTCTATGCGTGGTTTCTCTTTACACTTCTCAGCCACTGTTTTGGAACATAAGTAGTTCTTAGAGCATCCTTGCACTTGCTTCCTGATGTATTCTATGGTGAGAGACTTTCCAGATAAAAAGACTACCTTGCCATTTTGGAAGACTGCTTAAGAAGTAGCCACTCCTGGCTGAATTGTGTTATTCACCTCAGTGCTGTCTCCAAAAGCTCTGAGGATATAAGCAGAACCTTTTTAAAACCTCACAAGGGCTAGAATTAGAAGGCTCATCTCTAGGCACTACTCCAGTCGAGTAGTGCTCAAACTTTGCGACACATCAGCAACCTAACAGCTTGAAAAGAGCCACGTGCTGAAGTCCTGCCTCTGAGCTCTCCAGCCCAAATTTCTGTGGTCCAGGGAATTGTATTTAATAATTAAATTGTTAGGGTAAATGCCAAGCTTATGGATTGAAAGCTCAGAGTATAGGATTTCAAATACACATGTTTCTCTTTCTCTCTTATAACAGCCCCAAAATGAACATCCCAGATTGGCAAAATAACTCTGCTTAACAGTTATTGGGGGGCATGGGTTCCTTCCATTTTCCTGTTTAGACATTCCTAGGATATAACCATCATCTTCGTGATTACAGTTGGTACGCACTAATGTCCATTTGGGGAATCTAGGTATTGAGAAGAATGAAATCACAGGGGAGGCCAGTCCAATGTGGTAAGACCTGGGTTTGGAAGGGGTCCATGTCCTTTCTGCTCAAGAGCCTGGAAAAGGAAGTGAAGCTGAGTGCATTGAGAATGAAGAGGGTTGGTTTGGATGGGCAACTGGAAACTCTGCCACTTTGGTCCTGAGGCACACCAAAGCCCAGGGACCAAGATGTCTAACATCTACATTGTATAGATAAGAAACTGAATGCCTGTGAGGCATCTGACTGTGGGGACAACCCTCCCTCCTAAACTGTCTGAGGATCATCTGTGGTGCTGCAAAGGCCCTCTTCCTCAGTACCACTTTGGTTGCTTGAGTTCAGGCACTCACTTTCACCATAGAACTGTTGCTGAAAAAGAAATGTACTGCACTTTCCATTGGGCAATTGAGTGAGTGGAGACGAGCAGAGTATTTCTCTTATGCTGAATAGCCACACTTGGCATCTCACGTGCAGTCCTCTCTGTCATTCCATTCTCAACTTCTTTTTGCTGTCCAACTCCCCCCCTTCCGTGACCATTTGTATAATTGGATCTGCCTTCTGCATCCCCTCATTTCTTCCCTTCTTACTTTTCCTTTTAGCTACAGGAGGTGTAGCTAAAAGGCAGATCCAGGGACACTGAACTCTTTTTTGTGTGATGGAGAGGACTGAAATGGGTGAGAGGAGGGAAAGGAAGGGCAGTGGCTGAGCCAAACCCATGGTGAATGATTATTTAAGCAGCCACCACCCTGACAAGAACCAAGCTAAAAGACACAGAAATGTTGTAATGCTGCATATTGGTTGATTGTCAGTTTTGTAGTTCCAACACAATGAGAATTCCATACCAAATGTGAAAACCACTGGGAAAATTGACACATAAGGAGTTATGTACAACAAGAAAAATATTAGAGTGACACTTGTTTACATGCATTTATTTTAAATTAGAACATTAAAAAGGAGTAGTTTCAGGATGGAGGGAAGATGTAAGAGGAGGAAACAGAAACATACATGCGTACATTCATGAGCAAGGTAACTGTCTAGGATTTATGCAGTGTTAACCATGAAGACTCACAAATAACTAGTGGTGAAAAAATTTACTACAACATGAGAAAACATTAAGATGGAGATCCAATCCTGCCTGGAACTTGGTATAGACTTCCAATTCCCATCTTTGTAACATTTGTATTTCTCCATGGCTTACCATCCCTCTCCCACAGGCCCAGAGTAGCAAGAGTTTGTTTGAGTAAAAATTGCAAGAGCTTTATTTCTTCTCTTTGCAGCATCTTGTGAGACAGGCATGATAAAGGAAGGGTAAAGGAGTGCTGTGGCTGTTGACACTGAGAGTAGCAGCTAAGCCAAAGGGTCTTTTTTCTTCTGGCATCTATTGGAGGAAGGCAGCCCACAGGTGGGTGGTGGTGCTCACACATCGATGCTCACACTTCTCTGAAGAACAGCAGTATGTCTCTCACACTTCTTCACTATTTTTCTGAATAGTCTCATTAGCAGTACAATTAACGTGATTACCCATATTGGTTTGGAGTTTCTGTCCTTAATTTTGCCCAGTTAGATGGATTCAGCTATTTGGTTTTATTGATGAGCTAGGATGGAATTCAGAGGAAGAGCAGGTGTGAGTGTGTGTGAGTGTGTGTGTGTTTGAGAGAGTGAGAGAGAGATTCTGGACTACTAAAGGGTGGGCGTAAATAACAAAAGAAACAACAATGAGCATAAACACGTGAACAGGTCCTTCTTTACACTGACCCTAGTCTCAAAACCCTGAGAAATCTACAACTTAGAGCCACTAACTAACCAGCTCATCAGAGAGTGACCTGTCAGCACTGTCAACATCTTCTTTAGTGAGGTAACACTGTGGTATTGGCACCTAGGGAACTGTTTGCCTGTAGTGAGCTGGTACATAGCATTCTCTAGTTCTGGGCTCTCACAGCAGCTTATGGCAGGACTCTGTCCACACTTGCAGCTGGGGGCATTGTAAACCCCATGGATCACTCCCATGGAGCCACAGAAGAAGCTATTGCTCACTCTGCATGACTCATTGACTTCTAAAACTTTTCTCCAAACTGTCATATCATTGCAACACACTTTGCCATTACCCGGTCTGTTTCCCTTGGGGATGTTATAATGTAGTCTTCTGAGTGTCAGAAGGGAGGAAGGCATAACATCCTTGGACATGTTGAAGCTGATATTTTTATCTAACAGGGTCAAGTTCATTAATACCTCCATGGTCTGGTTGACTTGGCCACTTTCTGACATGACATATTGCAGCTCTTCCTTTGCAAGGTTGTCTTTAATTATCTCCTTTATACTTTCCGAAGCTCCTGCAAGAACTAGTCCCAGGCCAAGCAGTAGGAGAGAGAAGTTCTCCATCTCAGACACAGTGCAATTTCTTCTGCACTACAGATAAAAAGTAAAAGATAAAAACAAGGAGGATGTTAAGCAGACTGTTTTCTTTTTCTTATGGTGCGTATTCCCAGGAGTGACATCTAGATGTAAGACTTCCACATGTGTTAATGGAAGCATAACACAGCGAAAAGACAGCCAGCTGTGGAGTTAAAATCACCCATGCAAAAACCCCTGCTTCTGCACTTACAAACAATTCACTCTACCTCATTTAATCTCAGTTTACCCATCTGAGAAAAGCAACTATGATCAGTTTAAAGTGCTGGAACCAAGTTATCTATTTATTTATTTATTTCTCTGAGGTGGGTCACAATCACCTCACCCAACACATTCCTCACTATTATTCTGGTTCCTATAGCTCCGAGACAGAGAGAGAGAGACAGAGAGAGAGAGAGAGAGAGACTTGAAACACACTGTTGTTTCCTCATCTCTCATTTCTTTTCCCACCCTATTCTCAGTGATGAGATTTCTGTCTTTACCAGTTCCTTTGACAAGTCAGTCCTGTGGAGAAGGATTTCAGCTTGCTGTGGGCTAGCAGTGAAACTGTGTTTGTCTTCTGGGAGTTTCTGCTATTGGGTCTAACTGAGGGAAGGAGGGGCAAGAAAGGGGTAGAGAGATTTGTAAGAGATTAATGTAGGAGACAATGTGGAGCCAAGGACACACAAGGAGAACTGGACAAAGTGTCCATTAGGGAGTCAGAATCCCAGTGATCCAGGAAGCTCCTCCCCTTCCTCTTCTGTGAAATCTTCCCTATTTATGCTGAAACTCTGAGTGATTCTTCTTTTCTGGAACCCTGTAGCACAGATTATGTTGCGCTTCATTTTATGATTTTTAAATATGTTTTTTCGGTATTCTAGTTAGTTACACGTTAGTCTCCTTTTCCTCCCTCCTTACTAAGGGCTGACAACTGCTTGAGCCTGGAACACAAGTTTCTGGGAATTGTTAGTCTTATACAGCATTTCACACTGAAGTATACACACACTAGCTTCTCAACAATATTTGTCAAGAATACATGGCCTGACTAGTGTAGAAAATCCTTTATTGAGGTTAATGCTGGAAAGTTCATAATGAGTATCCCCAAAAAGATGGTTATTTCTCACTGAAGAATGATCCTGTTTCCTCTTTTCCTTTCTACCTTTACAAGCTTCCTTTTCTTGTATATATCTCCTGCAATATCAGCCTTCCTTCCTTTCTCATCGCCATTCGTTGCTCCTTAATTTCCTTCAAAGCATCATTTGCAATGATACTATCTCAGAATTTTTGAAATAGTTCTGATTGCCAAAAAGAAAAGAAAAGAAACATCTCTGATTGCCTGCAGGAGCAGTTTAATACCCTGAGCCCACTAGCTGATCTTTTCCCTCCTCTAATCTCAATTTTGGTTTCAAGGCTTATCTCCCTTTATTTTGTTCCACGCACCTGCTCTGGTTAATCAAGTGTGACCCTCTCTAGGCCATCTCTTCCCTTGTGCTCCTTTTTTTTCTGTCTCTTGAAGTCCTTCAAAATTGAATTCAGTTCCTGTCCCTACTTTGACATGTTTTCTCATCACTTATGTCTACCAAATCCATTTCTCATTTCTCTAAACTTCTTTTCCCTCACCTTTTTTCTTTTCTTTTTTGACAGACTCTCAATGTGTAGCCCAAGCTGGGCTTGATCTCAAGATCCTCCTGCCTCAGCCTCCTGAGTCCACCAAACCCGGCAACACTCATTTCTTATGGTGCTTGTTAGTGCACGTGGACTTTTTAAATTGTATTTGATTTTAAAATGTCCTATGTGTAAAATTAGCACAAAGACCTAGCATCAAGAATATATAGCATTAATAATTGGGTTGATGTATTATTGATAGACTAGTAAGAATTAAGAGGACATATCCCCGAGTGTTTCTTGAGACAATTCCTTTCACACAGACTTGGTACATGTAGGAGGGAGGAAGGAAGAAGAATTAATAAGGAATTAATTTCTTTCCTAAGCTTCTCTATTCTTTGCCATTGACATCAGTAGTGCACTGATAATAAGAAAACTGAAAGCCAATAAAGAGAAAACCAAACAAGAACAGTTCAAAGTTCCCAGTCTTCCCAGTCTTTCTGAAACATGTCTCAAGTGAGCAGAATTCACAGCTGCCTAGGTTTGACTTCAAATTGTTAGATGCTTGCTAAAAAGAATGTAAGCCCCAAACTGCAAACATTTAAAATATCACAGTTCATTTGATTTTGATCGCTATTGAATCAAAAGAGTCTGAGGACAGATTCCGTGGGGCAGTCTGTGAGTGCACTTCAAGTCTGCAAGATTTGTTTTTAATTTAGAGGCGACTTTGTGGATAGGAAGGAAGAAAAGGAACTGAGAAGGAAGGAAAGGCCAACAAAGCCTAAGGCAAGGGGCAGGAAAGGAATCAGAATTTAGAAAATACAAGCAAGGCCTAAAGGATACATTTCACCTGCTTCAACGTTTTGCCCAGGAAATAATGCCACCAAGACACAAGTTGTATGCTAGGGACCACTTGCTCCTGCTCAGTTTCTGTTCAGGTACTGAGGGCAGTGCTCACTTGCTGATACTCAACAATGACAATAGGGTTCCCACAAAGAAATGGATAATGAAACTCAGCTGGAAAAGGGCCACTCCAGATCGAAGAGTCATGAGAGGTGAGCCTTGCTTACTTACAAGGATAAAGTGTCCTTTTCTCATGATTGTCACCCTCTTCCCCCACAAACCTAATCAATCAGTTAGAACTTGATGCTTCTAAAAGACAGAGATAACAGCGAATGTAGGTGTAGCTCCTTTTTTTGATATGTCCTTGAATTATGTCCAAATAGTCAGCACAGCTTTTGAAATCTCTCAGCTGAAATAACCAGGACAGAAGGTACCTTTACAGCTTGGGATCTTCACGCCTGCTCTGGTCCACTCTCTGTGAGTCTTGGCTTCTCACACATAGCACTGAACTCCACTACTCAGAATTACTGACTCTATCAGCCAATTACCCCTTATTTCTTATTATTTCCCCAATGCTAACCTCCCCACCAGCAAGCCAGTTTCTACACTTCCTAAGAAATAGAATTGTGGAGTGACTGACTTGGAATGAAACTCAAAAAGTACCTAGTTAAAGCCCCACGCTCTACAGATGAGGAAATTAATGATCAGAAAACAGGATTTGGGGTAATTTCCAGAATAGGTGACTTTCCTTGTCTGCCTTTTACCTGTGACTGTAAAGTTATTAGGTCCCAGCTGACCGTGGGGAAATTAGATGAGTTCAGTTGCAGTCACTAAAAGGAGAAAGGAGTCAGTTGTCTGACTTTAAGTCTTCTCTGTTCCCTCCAGAGTTTCACAGAGGAGAAACACTGAACTCTGAGCATCATCATCCCTTCCTGGAAATCCTTATCCACCATCTTTAAGGAAAATTGTTTCTGACCACTCAGGCTCCCTCTGCGCCCCAGGCACAGAGGGCTGCTGAATGGAACACATGCAATGAATGTTGTGTATTCCATCTTTAGGAAAGACCCTAAGGTGACCACACCTAGAATGAGGGCTGGGATCAGGGTGAAATGACTAATTTTCCATTTCAGGAACAACATTTAAGGCTGTACCAAAAAACTCAGCAATCAAGATAAAAAAAATTATAACATTAAAAAATAAATTTAACCTAATATAGTCCTTGATGCACAAAGTTTAGGTTTTTAAGTAACAGAATCTGACCCATGCAACTCGTTTCACCCTAATCCCAATCTTGTCAGGTTGGATCTTTAAAATGTAGAAATTTTGTGAATGCAGGATATTTGCATTAATTTTGATCATTTAGAATATTGACTTAATGTTGATGATCTAGGTTACTGGGAGAGGCTGATGTCCCTTTTAAGTTTGCACCTTTGGTGACTATCTTGATCACTTTATCTTAATCCCAAATTCTGCCTTGGATGTACTCTTGGCTCTTATCAAACGACTCAAAGACAAGTATAAAAAAATTAAAACACATGCAGAGTTTATGGTTTAATTCAGTAAAGACTTTTATTGAAATGGAATAAAGTGATTGCCTCTCAGCCATTCTGTAAGGAGAAATCAAATACCCATTTTACTCCAAGCGTTCCCCATGTCCATGGCTCAGCTTGCCTCAGGGACAAGCAACCCCAGGGCAGGTGAGAAAGGAGAAGACAGGATTGAAGACTCAGGCACAGATTTCAAGTTATTCAATATATCCCTGGAAATTAACCGGTCCCAAGCCATCACAAGTGACAAGAATGAACCCTGCTGTGAGGGAATTGTGGTACCTGCAGGCCGGGTATCCGGTACCATCAACAAGCTGACAGACTGTCAATTTGAACCTTGTCTCACTCTGGAAGCAGAAAATGGTGGAGTGGTTTTGGCAAGCCATCCGCTTGGGAGACGTGCAAATACTATTGATTTTTTGAGGCCTCTCATGAATGAAGACATGCTTCTTTTTGCATGTGTGGTCAGGTTCCCTGACACCTCTCTGTAGGATCATATAGTTACAGTACCTTACAGCAACATTGTTCTGAGGGTAGTCAACATGCAAGTGTTCTAAAGATGTCATCACCTCATTGTCATTCAGCTCATTTTCCCAGAACAGAAGTAGCAAGAAAATGATCACCATTAGGACCATCAGAGGCAAGATTCCCTTCACGTCTCTGGCTTTAACTCCTGTTCAGTAAAGAAAACAGAAAGGAGCAAAGAGTCAGATTGCTCCTGCTCCAATCCCTCGCCACTCCCCACCCTTTTAGGATGTTTCATTTCCTTCTCTCTGCTGATTAAAATCGAATTGACCTTGTAAGATCCAGCTGGAGGTAGAGCTCTTCAAGAAAGCGCTTCTGACTATAGGTCTCAGAGTTTAGTATTTAGCTGTTCTCTAATTAATCCCACTGCATTTGCTTTTTCTCTATCTTGCATCTTGATAGTAAGTATATCTCCTGTTTCTCCCAAAGCTTTCAAAATGCTTAACACAGAGTTGAACAGACAGAAGTATCTCAACACTACTTATGCCACATTATTTTGTTATCACAGAATGACTTCCTTTTGCACAATTTTCTCAGCCCTAATTCCCCCCAATTCCACATGCTTTTCGTACTGTCTACTCATCTGTTCTCCCTCAGTCCTCCCCCATTCCTGCTGGGGCCTGTGCTAGGTCCTCTCACCTTTTGTTCTTGCAGGTGCTCTCACAGGTAACATGACCTTCGGATTACAGATCTGAGAAAATCCCTTGTGCCTTGCTGTTTCCTGACAATAACTGACAGGGAGCCAGTTGCTTGTGGGGAGGGCAAATGACCTCAGATGGAGCGGAGAGGGAGGGACCTGTAGAGCAAGGGTTGGTGCCACTGGGGAGGAAGAGAACTTACCTTCAGAGGGAGATGAGCGCAAAGCAGGTCCTGGATAGGTCCCCATTAAACAGCCACGGACTTCTCAAGACATTTAGTGAAGTTCTGATGTGCCCCACCACAGTATTCTCCATTTTCTGTGTTTTCAAAGAGTGCTTACTACAAAACTGTGAAAAAACTATTTTCCCTTTTGACTTATTTTTTATTATTATACTGGAGGTACACTGTGACATATTCAAAAGTTCTTACAATATATAATAGCTGAGTTCACCCCTCCTTCATTCTCCTTTATCCCCTCTACCCCCATTCCTGGAATAGTCTCAGCAGGTCTCATTTTTCCATTTAAATATATGTGTACATAATATTCCCACCATATTCACCCTCCTACACCCTTCCTTGTATCCTCCCCCTCCCACTGGTATACCAACCCCTAGACAGGACCTGCTTTATCTTACTGTTCTGTTTTTGAAAAGAGACATTTTTGTTTATTTAAGATAGCTACAGAGGGAGGAGAAGCTTTTTTTTTTTTTATAGCACTGGTATTTGAACTCAGGGCCTCATACTTGCTAGGCAGGCACTCTTAATACCTGAGCCACTCCACCAGCCCTGTTTTACGATGGTTTTTGTTTTGTTTTTTTTCAAGATAGAGTCTCAAACTATTTGTGGGCTACTGGCTTCAAAGTGCAATTTTCCTGATGTCTGCCTCCTGAGTAGTAGGATTTCAGGTGGGAGCCACTGGTGTCCAGCAATGAACTATTATTTTCATTTCATTGATTAAAAAAAAGAAGAAGAAGAATTACAGATGGGTTAATGTAGAGATGTAAAAATTACAAGAGTAAAACAAATCTGTCCCTCTCCATGCTGAACAGTTTCAGCATGTGTTTCAACAGGCGTCCTTCTCACATGGTGTCTAGAATAGGACAAAACAATTTTCTGAGCTGGGCACCAGGAGCTCACGCCTGTAATCCTAGCTACTCAGGAGGCAGAGATCAGGAGGATCACGGTTCAAAGCCAGCTCAGACAAACAGTTCCTGAGACCCTGTCTCAAAAAAAACCCATCACAAAAAGGGCTGGTGGAGTGGCTCAAGGTGAAGGCTCTGAGTTCAAGCCCCAGTACTGCAAAAAAGAAAGAACGAAGAGAAAAGAGAAGACATAATGGGCTTCTGAGGAGTATGGCAATGATTCCTGAATCATGCTGAACATTGGGAACCCTGGGGAGTTAAAAAATGTGGCTCCCACCCTAAGATGTCCTGCTTTAGCTGGTGTTAAATGTGGCCTGGGTTTGCGAATTAGTAAAGGGTCCCCATGTGATTCTACTACCCAGCAAAATTTGGGAAGCCCTTGACTGTGAGATTCTTGGGAAATCAGTGGATGATTGGCGTTAGTACCACACAATAGCTCAAGGTATTGAGATAATAGAAATTGTTTTTGTTGCTATTATCTTCTGGCCAAATGATATAGGAATGGAAAAATAGAGTTCATTTTACTAAGTCTTACTCTGAAATCTTCCTCTCTCTGTCTCTGTCTCTCTAGGCAAGCACTCTATTACACCCACAACCTCTCCTTTGAAGGAACAGATACAGTCTCCTTTGTACATATGATGTCTTTTTTTCTTTTTACTCCGTAATCAGTGATAATTTGCCAATTTATTATTTTAACTTATTACAGTAGCACATATCACATGCATACATGTGTTCACAAACATATCTGTATCTTTCTAATTGGCAAGAAGAAAATCATCATGGAGTGAAAAAATGGCTTAGGAAGAGCAGAAATTTCTGGAAAAGGCCTTAAAAATTGCATCTCTTGGCATGTGTGGTGGTCTTCACCTGTAATCCCAGCACTCAGGATGCTGAGACAGGCAGATTGTGAGTTTGAAGCCAGCCTGGGCAAAATAGCAAGAACCCATCTCAAAAAAAAAAAGAGAAAGAAAAAATAATATGCACTTCTTTCTGTACAACAACAAAATCATGATTTCAGACCATGAAAATGAAGAACGAGGAGGTGATTGTTTATTTTCCAAAAACTTTCATTCTGGTAGTCCAAACTGTCCTACTGTGGATATGGGTTGCACAGTGCCATAAAGACATAAATGTATGATCCATTTCTGATAAACCTTCCAATTAACAAAATTTGGTTTGCATATGATGTCACAGAACCACCACCATAGTATAAAGAGAAATGTGAGTACACACTGTAATGCTCATTTTTTCCAGCCAGGACCTCCAGGTAACTCAGCTGCAGGTGCTGTCCTGAGTTCACATGCTGTGCGTTACACAGAGTATTGGCACTGAGGCAAATGAAACTGCTCCTGTGTTCCAGGGTGTACCCCAGAAACAGCTGAGGCTGAGTCCATGTCAACTAGTGCTGGCACCTTTCAGGAAAATATTGTAACCTCTAAAGCCAGCTAAGGATTAGCATCCAGACATGAGAAACTTCTACTTCAGCAATGAAAAGGCAGGAAACCCCAAACCCAACTATGAAAAGCCAGTTTCAGAAGATGAAGCCAAAAAGGGTAACAAGCAATGCTCAACTTCATTAGCAATTGAGGGAATGGAGACTAAAATAACAAGGAAATGTCCGCATATAAACACCAGATTATCAAAAACTACAGAATCAAGTAATATCAAGTGCTGGTGAAAAACTATTCCTGGATAGGAAAATTGGTGCGGAAATACTAGAGTATGCTGGAAGCATTTGGTTGGTGAAGCTAACAATGGGTACAGTCACTGGCAGTGTAGCTCAGTGGTAGGGCACCTGCCTTGGAGTTGATCCCTGCACTGATTTAAAAAAAATCAATAGAGCCACCTCTGCAGCTCACACCTGTAATCCCAGCTACTCAGGAAGCAGAGATCAGAAGGATCTTGAAGCAAACCCCAGACCACAGTTCTCAAGGACCCTATTTCGAAAATACTCAACACAAAAAAGGGCTGGTGAAATGGCTCAAGTGGTAGAGCACCTGCCTAGCAAGTGTGAGGCCCTGAGTTCAAACCCTAGTCCCACCCAAAAAAAAAAAAGGAAAAATCTTTAACCATGTTGGGAGGCCAAGGCAGGAGGATTTCACTCAGGATCAGCCTGGGCTACAAAAGACACTGTCTGAAAAAAAATTATCCATCTAAATATCAGACCTTGTTATTTCAAGAAACCTGTGAGGATGAGAGAAGTGAAGGGATGAAGAATAAAAGAGAAAAATAATAAATAAAATTGAGTAGAAGAGAAGGGAATATGACCAATTCAAGGCTGTGTTCCTGAAGAGAAGGGCCAGAGGGAGATAGGGAAGGGGGCTTTTGTGTTTTGCTCCCACTAATATAGCATGGAGGAAAGGAGAAACTGGACTGTTTCCGGATTATTGTGTTTGTTGAAAATCTGCCACCCTTGGTTTGCTGGGCCTTAGGTCAACTCACAGAAGGAGACTAGGGAGACAGACTGCTTCGAAAAGCCACCTTTGGTGTCAGGATGGAAAACACCATTAGTGATTCCCTTAATTACTCATTTTGTCAGACGCCATGACAGCATTCTGGAGACCTACTGGCTCTGATACTATCTGGTTCTGGGCAGCATGTCCTCAAGGTGACAGCAGAAGTGAACACCCGCTCTGGGTGCCCTCAGCTGCATAGGAAGTTCACACTGAGAGAAGGAGGTGGCCGGCCCCAGCTGTCTCCTCTGTCCCACAGGAAACAGTTAAGAAGTGACTTACTGCTGCAGAGGTAGCTGGCTACCCTGCAGGCTGCTGCTGTTGATTCCCAGTGCTGGCTCTCATTGAGGTAATATGGCAGACTGTATTTTCCAAGAAGAATGACTACAAAATATTCCCATCCCATGTTCTGTTCCAGAACTTACCACTCCTCCATCAAGCAGCAGAGTCTAGGTCCTTCCTGTGAACGGGAGTGGGCTTCAGGGCCTGTTCCCACTGATTAGTGTGGCACAAGTGATCTTTTCTGACTTCTGAGACTAGGTCACTCAGCCTCCATATGGGCCATGGCCCTTGGGGGACATTTATTCTGGGTGCCTTCAATTGCTCTTTGTCAGGTCTGACTCTGTCAAGGCTACCAGATTGACCTCACGGGCACAGAGGGAGATCTGAGGAGTCCCAGCCTGAAGCTCCATGAAGCTTGGGTCACCTCAGCCCAGGTGGCAGACAGGTGAGTGGAAGACCTGTGATCCAAGAAATGAGGCGGGAGCACCGCAATGTGGTGAATTTCATGGCCATGTGGACCTCAGCTGTGGAACCCAGGACCTTGCCACCCCACTCAGCCCCAGCCCCAGACCCCAGTGTCGCCTTTAGGAAGCA